AAATGATAAACTGCTTTTGAACTTATATTGCACATGTAAGTGAGCTTGGGGTGGAAGATCCTTGAGGACTCACTGACTTACTGAGATTTCTAGATTAGAGATCTTACCCCACGTTTGGGGAATGCTTATTTCAGGATCAGGTAGTATGGGTACTGATGCCTCAGGCGGCAGGAGGCCGAAGCTTAGCTGATCTTGTTGTTTCTGCTTAGTTGTTAGCATGACTGGATTTGGATGCTGTTTATGTTTTCCGCTATTTATAATATGATGTTGTTGAGACTGATGTTGGGCATGTTGCCTTATTTGAGTGAGCATGGGGATTGTCCATGACGCTTTCTGTTAGTACTTTTAGTTTGGAGTTGTATAAACTGTTAGATGGTCCGGTCTACATTGTTGTAGTTCTGTGACTAGAGCCACACTTATATTATCTATGTTATGAGGTATTTCAGTTAGCTGTTTTATTGCAATTACATACAGGCGATGTTTTATTAATTGATTATTAAGCAAGTTGGTAATGTTAATGGCATCATAATTGAAAAGAAAAAGTAATTCCGCATTTTAATTAAGCGCAGCTTAATACGATATTGTGATAACATTACCGGATATATACGGGGTGTTACAGTTAAGCTGAAACGAGCCCGTGCCAATTGTTTCATATGCTTGATGATTTTTTTTTATAGAATTGAGGCAACTGTGGTTGGTCGTGAATAAGGATTTCTTTATTTTTTTTTTTGGTTGAACAAATTTCTTTATTTTTAATTTTAGGGGGAACTAACTATTAGTACTAATAATAAGGAATTATCCGTTTACAATTTTTTTTTACAAACTTACAAACTACACTGTGTCTGACCGGTAATACTCTACTTAAGAGTGTGACCGGTAATACTCTACTCAAGAGTGTATTACCGATCAGACATAGTGTAGTTTGTAAGAGTTTGTAAATAAAAAATTTGCAAATATAACATTTCCCCTAATAATATACTAATATTACAAAAAATTCCATTTTATATATTTAATAAAAAATAAAAATTTAGAGAGGGGTGACCGCCGACCTTAGCCCCTCCCTACGGTTCCAAGCACGTGGATCAACTGGTAAATAATTGTTTCAACTTAATCAGTAGTTTCAAGTTTGAGTTCGTGAGAATGCAATTGTGTTAAAACTTGGTAGGAAGAGCTTTATCACCCTTGTCATTCTATCCAACTTGAATCGAACTAGTCAAGTTATCAATGAATTGATGGATTATCAAAAAAAAAAAATCAAGTATATTAGATTATTATATTTATTGATAAATGGTTATAACTAATTAAAACCTAATTATTATAATGAATACTATGTTAATAAATTACTAATTTTTTTATACATAATAAATTACTAATTTAATAACACCCAACTATAAATATAATTTATATAAAAATTTATAAATCATAAGAAAATATTAAGTGTTTCTCAAAAAATTAAGTCAGATCATGTTTTTATTTATTCATATGATAATAATTGATTTTAATTAATAATAGCATTAAGACTTACTTGGATATTTAATATTTTATTGTTTATCTAAAAAATTAAACATATAAGTAAGTAATACTCTCATTAAAAATTAAGAGTTAAATTGTCGATATATACAAAATTTTACGTGACAGAATAGAACAAAAATGTAATAATATTTCTAGAGTCAATATGTACCATACAACTATTTATTTATGTGAGACTGCACTTTTTTTTTTCAAATCCTTTTAACTAATTTAATGAAGTCGCAAATACGTGACTTCAACGTATACATTTCCGCGTCCGTGTACCATGTGTCAAATGTTAATATGTCTTTTGTGTAAACGTGCAATTATCCCGTATGCGACTTGAACATGTTTGACTTCTTATGTGTGTGTTTTGATAAAATCTTTGGACTTATATTGACCAGTGAGTTGTGTTTATAAATTTTTTATTTATAAATTATATTAGATATTTTGAAAAGTACATTTATTTAAGAATATATTTTCCAAAATATATAATGTAGCTTGTAAACAAAAAATTTGTAAATATAAATTATTCTTATATTGATTAAGTTATTTGGTATTAAATGAATTAAATAGCCATATTTTTTAACTTGCATGTTAGAAGGACATGTGGACCAACCAAGACCACTCCGATACTTAAACTTCATGAATGTCATTATTGGGATAATCAAGTAAGATAAAGTTTCACATTGCTCATAATGAACTAACTAAGTATATACAAATGTGATGACTCGTGAATTTAATGTTTTAAATTTTTGGGTTGAGACATCATATTAAGTTCATGACGTGATTATTCTAACTTAGCTTATTAATAATGATCTCTTGCTATAGACTCTTCGAGACCCACATGATAGTCATAATCATTTTCTATTTTTTCACTCTGGTGTTTCTTGTATCCTTTGTCATGACTATATGTTAGGATGTACTTATGTACACAATCTTTTCTCTTTAGGAGAATATCTTCCAAAAGGAAAAACGATTTTCGAGAGCTTTTTCTAGGACCAAAGGAAAGTACCCGGGTTCTTCCAATAACTAAAAAATGTATCATATTTGAATCTAACTAGAATTTCCAGTGATGAAGGAACTTAATTGAAAAAAGAAAGAAAGAAAGAAAAGGTTTATAGTTATAAGATTGAATCTGTGTATGTATTAAGAATATGCATGAAAGTGAAGAAAGTTTAATGGAAGGGCGAAACTAGTGTTTTGTGTGTAGGGATAACAGTTTGGGTTGATACGATACAAATTTAACACGAATATGAATATATTTAATACTATACGTGTGAATTTGAAAATGGCTCAAAAAATTCAACATAAACATAACCCTCTTATTTTGTGATTTGCGGGTTGACATAATATGACACGAGTAATCCACTAATTTAAAATATGTTGCTTGTTATATAGATTTATCCGATATGTCACGAACAAATAACCTATCAATTTTAAAATGTGACACTTATTATATATATTGATATGACACGAGATAACACGTCATGACACGAATGTCTTGTAAGAATAGTAACACAAGTCACTCTTATATTTGCAAATTGACGCACAACATGACATGAATTTATTTTAATTATTTTTTATCAATATAAATATGACGCAAATTTAAAAATAAATTAATCCAAATACAAAATTCTCTTATCGTAACTGCCGGTCCTAAGGATTGGTACATATAAGACAAAAATGCAGGTTGCATCATTGTGTTCTTATTTTTTTTTAATGGGGGGTTTGGCAGAGGAGAAATTTTTTTATCCGGAAATTTCGATTTTCAGAAATATGATGAAAACATTCAATTTATAATAATATTCTAAAATTAAAAATTTAATAAAGTTCAATTTAATTTCCCAAAAATCCTAAAAAATACCTTATATCAAACTCCCCTAAGCGTTTGGTTCAGGAAATTTTTTTGGAATAGTATGGAAATGAGATAGATAGAGAAATGATTGGAAAGATAGATAAAGTGAGATAGGTAGAAAAATGTAAAAAAAAGTTGTTTGGTGAGGAAAAACTTTACTGGGAAAATTAGGTAACTTTATGAAATCAACAGTGCATTAAAAGCCAGATAACCAGTTTTCCGAAAAATCTCACCTTCAAATTGAGTTTCTAAACAGTGCGGATATCTATGTTTCTCATAAATCCAGACAAATTGGATATATGGGTTTTTGGTGAAAAACGTTGAAACAAAAATGATATTTCTAAAAGCCATACTTGAGAAAAATAGATATTCGCTGAAAGACTCCCAACCAAACACCACCTAAAAAATTATGAGCGATCGCATATACATGCAAAGCCATTGTAATCGATTTATATATATTTTTTCAAGTCAACTTCAAAACTTCATGGCCCCACTTATTATTCAGCACGACGCTTCCGCCGCCACAAATGCCTGCTGCTCCGCTTTGACAGGAAAAAAATAAAATTTATTTGTAAATCTACAATTCTTTCATAATTTTTAAATAAACCTTTGCAATTTGAGGAAGCATCAGATTTAACATTTTTATATTTTCCTGTAATTTTATATAAAATGTAATTTTTATTTACTTAAACGTTGAATTATAATTATTTATTATTTTGATCATTTATTTTCCAATTTTATAAATGTTGAACAATAATAAAAATATAATCATATCCTTTGCAAGATGCAGGGCAAATGAGTAGGCTCCTGAGCTAACTTTCTTTAAAAAATAAAATAATTAAAGAACACATGATACAATTTAATTTGTGATATGAATAGAATCATCAATTCGTCCTTGGTCCATGCATCTTGTTTTTATTTTTTTAGCCCAAACCCTTCAGATGGACACTGGTTATCTGGTGTGGCAATAGCCAACAAACAACCTTAAACATTTCAGATGTTGGCCTAACCAGCTGGATTGGTCCATTGCAGGCTTTTAAAACTCCTTTATTATAATAATAATAATAATAATAATTGTGGCCTGTGAAAGCTGAAAGATATCTAACATTAAAATATATTGTTGTTTGGAAACTTGGAACAATTTATTTAATTTTTATTCCATCAGGCCATTCAATGCTGCTCATTATTTACTCTTTGATATTTGAGAAAAGTGTGTGTCATTCTAAAGGATATAAAGTTGTGTCATTCTAAGAAAGTGAAAGAGATAGATAAAAAAGGAGAAAAAGTTGATAACAAAAATAAAGGTGTGAGTCCTACTTCATTGTGAGAGTGAAAGGATGTAAGTTGGGTCGTTTAAAAGGGTAAACACTTTTCTCTTTATATTTATATACTGTTTCATTTTAAGTTTTTAACACCAGTTGGTCTACTTTGTAAGAAAGTCATAGTCATGCAAGGGGTTCAGAAAATTTAGCTTTAGAGTCAATGCTGTAGAAGAAATTATTCATTTTATATACTATAAAACATTAATAACAAAACTTTTATTTAATGCTAACACTTTGCATATAAATGGGCATTATGAAAGTTTCATTTGGAATCATAGCCCTTATTCCTTACTGAATCTACTTTGCTTCTACTAGTTCAGATTAATTGAGTATTTTGGCCGTTTATTTGGAAGGAAAAGCCCCCAAAATTTCTCATACTCTGGCTGCTTCTGATTTTCATCAAACATAGCAAACACATAAGTTTCAATGGGTCTGCGAGGCCTTTTTGGGGTCCCTCCCTTTACATGTTGAACCAAGTTTGTGTTGTAAGTTCTTGCATTATCAAGTGAAGTTGCTGTCCCTCCAGATGAAGGCCAACCTGTCTCAGACACAACAATGTTCAATGACCCTCCCCCTGCTTTCTCCAATGCAGAATAAGTAGCATCCACAATAGCATCAAAAAGGTTACGGTAACCAAGTGAACCATCACTCACTATCACTGAAGGAGAATTGAAAAGAGCATAATCAAGACTAATGTCCCTTGTGTCACTAATGTAACTAAAGTAAGTGTACACATTAACTAGTAATGGGGATCCATTACTACCTAGAAACCTTATCACATTATCAATATATGCTCCTCTATAATCAGACCTGAATGAGCCCTTTGATGGAGGGTATGATTCTTCTAGAGCACCTGTTTCAATTGCAGTGGAAACTTTGATTTGGTTTCCAAGGCCAGCTGAAGAAATTGCTCTTTGAATGTTTTGCATGGCAGGGAATAAAAACTGTGAAAATGAGTCACCAGGTTTCACTTCATTCCCCACTGAAATGTATCTGAATTTGACATTACCATAGTTTTTGATATTGTCTTGCACCCATTTGTTTGCATTGTCTTGGCTAGTAGCTAGATTTTGGAGTTCATCATTTGGAATATCTAAAAGAAGATCAATGTTTGAACCTCTTAGAGCTTGGAGAACTTCTTGGTCTGGACTATAGATTCTCATCCTGCTAATGTTGTGTTGATTGAAGATAGCCACAACTTCTTTTGGGGATGGCAAATTGTTGCCAAGTCTTCCATAACATACACCAGATTGTGCACCTCATCACATGGAACAAAATGGTTATTAGGGTTGAATTCATAGTACTATAGGTTGTAAATTACATGACATGGTTTTTAAGATGAGTACATAATTTTATTAGTTTTCTAACTACTTAAATACAGTTAGAACATTGTCTTAAATGCTGCCTTTATTTCTACCTTAAATTTTAAGACATGATATTCATTTTCCTCTTAACTCAGATAATAATGGTTGATCTGCTTAATTTTTTTTTTTATGGTGAGTCAAGAAATAATCTCTTTACATAATTAAAAAAAATAAAAGAATTGAAATTAAGAAATATATTTCTCATAAAAACATTAGTCTAAGTATTGAAAAACATAATATAAAATTATTACTGATGAAGTTAGAACTTTATATTATTAAAAAATAAACCAACATCAAATTTATATTAAAAAAATAGCTTATTTGATAAACAAGTTAAAAAAAATGCGATTAGTACACTCGTCTCATTCCACCCGAATCTGCTATACCTCGTAATTAATGTAGGACGAGCTATATGCAGATTGATGAGTTAATTTATATGACTCAACTCGTTAAAAGTAACAAGCTAAACAAGAAAAAAAATATTTTCATGTTATATTCAAATTTAAGTCACCCATGAAACTGTGCACATTGTCGAGTTTCGAAAGATTTTTAAAAGAATTCAAAAGAATAAAATTTTTTGATTTTCAAAACTTGTTATTAGAGATATTTGCAAGAGTGGCGGCACATCAAATCCGTGACATATGCAACGTCGAACAAAGCTGTAAGGATTTTCTCCGAGGGACAATTTTTTGCTGGTGCGTGCAACAGATATTCTCCTTGGTATAGAGTGGTAGAACCGAAACTTCTACTGTGGAGAAACAAACATGACGCATCTTGACTCATGAAGTTGAATAATGAGTTTATTTTTTTGCTGTTGTTGAACTATGCTTTGCACTACAAAATTTTAATATTCGTTTGAGTTTGAGAAAATATGGAAGTAAAAGAATTGAACTTTGTCTGTTACGTACTTATTATTAAATAAAAATTTGTGTAGATATTTAAAAAATTCTGTGTGAATGTTATAATTTTTTAAAGTTCAAAAATAGCACAAAATAGCATGACAATCGTTTTTTTTTTTTTTATATAATTCTCAAGTAAAAAGTGTGCTTTTTTGTTTTTTGTTCCTTCATGTTTATACCACCATCGTAGTATCGTTGAGAACTTGATATCAAGATGAATGTGTTAAACGGCGACAACAATTTCGTTCTTTTTTCTCCGGACATCGCATGAGTAATTTACTAGTTTATATGTACACACAAACACACACTTGACATATGATATAAGTATCAAACATTGACGCGAGTGCCCTTAATTATTCAAAACTGGAAAAATAACAATATCATGTTTCTAGGTGAGTGCGAAGAGAGATAGAGAGGGAAGAAAAAATAGTCACCTGTTGTGGCTGTGCTAGCAATTAGTAGCACAATAAGGAGAATTATACAAGTCATGGAAGAACTTTTCCTAGTTGAATGGGATTGAGCCATTTGAGATAAGGGAAATGGTTAAGGAATTAAGAACTGATAAGGCTTGTATATGGAATCAAGCTCCAAAACTAGTTGGTTTATATATAAAAGGGTTATGATAAGAAGTTGGAACAGTCATGTCTTTTCGTTTGCGAACAGTCGCGTTTCTTCGGTTGTGAACAATAACACCTGTTCGCTTTCGAAAAGTTATATCTCTTCGTTTTCTGATAGACGTGCCTCTTCAGCTTGTGATCATTAATCTCCTATATATACTTATCTTCAGTGAATCCAAAAATAAGTTTTTCCGACTTTTTACTAAAACTCTACCAAGATTAATCCTTCCATATTGCCTTTGTTTCCGAATAGTCGTGCCTCTTCGGCTTGTGACTGTTCATCTCTTATATATACCTATTTTTAGTGAATCCAAAAAAAAAAAAAATTCCTGACTCTTACCAAAATTCTACCAAAATTAATCTCCTATATTGTCTTGGTCTGCGATTGATTAGCGTTTATTGTGTCCACCGATATTTTTACTTATAGTAGTGTCACTTTCAAAACAAAGGTAACTCGTTCTATCTTGGGAGATATTTATATACAAATCTTAGGCACCGTTGAGGGGGCAAAATTGCCTTAAGAACATAACATTTAATACTAAGTTCGAGTTTAATTTTTTGCAATTTTTATGCCTTGCATATTGCATTCTAATTTTTTGTGATTGCGTGCAAATTTGTGTTTTCTCTTATGTCTCCCAAACCAATAACATAGATTTTTATGATGTTACACTGATTTTATGTGATTGTGTGCAAATTGAGAAATAAAGTTAGAAATTAAATAATTAGAGTTTATAACTTTTATGGATATCTAATTTCTATTATTCATTTCTTAATGTTACACATAAAATATGTAATTTTAAATAAAGAAAAGTGTTTATCCTTTTAAATGACACGACTTATATTCTTTCACTCTCACAAAGAGGTGTAACCACTACAACAAAATTTCTCTTTAGCCACGGCAAAAACAGTGGCGAAATATGATAAAAACCGTGGTTAAATGAATTGTCCACTGTTTCAAAAACCGTGGCTAAAACAGGCGTTGCATTATTTTAACCACGGTTTTTGTTGCATTTAACCACGGTCTGTATGAGTGTGGTAACATTGAGTTAGCCACGGTTTATGTTATATTAGCCACGTTTATTCGTGGCTAAACGATTTGGATCCCAATAATGAAAAGTTTTATTTTGCCACTGACAAAACCGTGGCTAATTATAAGGATTTTTTTTTTAAAATAAAAAATATTATAAATTTTTGCAATCATATAAAAAACAAATAATAAAAATTGCATTTGATACGAGAACCAAAAACCAAATTAAGAGAGATAATCAAATAAAATGGAGTACACAATTTAACACAATATATTTTTTTTTTCTATTCATATGAGTATATCATGTTTTTTACACAATTTTTCAAAATTCATATTTTTTTTTCCATTTCATATAAGCTGAAGGAGTTTCCTTTACCAGCAAAAAGAGCTAATCATGTTTTTCACTTACATCATTTAAGAGAAATATTTGTCAAATAAAGCTAAAACTATAAGTTTGTGATTGTCACTAGACATCTATACAAAATATTAACTTCATTCTTCAACTAAACAAAATATGACAACACATTTTTTAAATCTGTCTTCCAAGAATTGTTGTTGTATGCATCCTATCCTTTTAAAAAAGCTTATCACAAATCATACCTGTATAAAAAAAAATTAAATAAGATATGTTAAAATGTCACATGACTTTTCAATGTCAAGAAATTACTACCAATTATGTTTTAGATTAAATATGAACAAACCTTAAAAGCATTAATTCTGTTAAGAGGAGGAGCATAAACCTTCGGGCCCACCTATTCAAAAGTAAACCATCAAACAATAAATTAGTAAGCAATAGAAAATAAATATAAATGTAATTAATTAAAAGACAAAATGCAAAAAAAAAAAAAAAACATGTGAAGAAGGCTTGTGGCAGTAGAACTATTAAGGCTAAGTTACAACATAGTTGCAGCTTAAGCCTTATCTGAAAACACAGTTACATGGTGAAAAGAAAATGTCATTTCAGTAATTTGATGGAACCGCACAAGTCAACTTTGATTAAAAAAATCCAAATTGAAAAGATCTTCAACAATGCAAACACAAAACACAGTGCACAAAATCAATAAAATGAGAATTTAAATTTGGAAGCAAACACCCACAGGTTTTGAAATTCATTTGACTGCAATTATTATGACACATATATATGAAGTCTGAATTCAAGTAATGTCCAAAACATTTAAAGAAATTAACAGTAAATTATAGCATGGTAGCTGCACCCACCCCATTTTCTGAAGAGGGTCAAATTTCACATAATTAAAAAGAAAGAAAAAGGTTCCCAGAATATGAATCAATAACACCCCACAGAGAAGCAGATCTCATCCATAATACAATCAAGTTCACAAAACCATTCACAAGCATAAAGGGTCTCTTATTCACAGCTTTGAGAGCTGCAAAAAATATTAAAAAAAAAACTCACGTGTATGTATATGTTTGAGACAGAGAAAGAGAGTTGTGAAAGGTAAAGTAGGAAATAATGAGTTGAAAAGAGTGTGTTATCGCTTGTCTTTATAGAGGAGGAGGATTGGATCATTATCAGTGAAGTAAAAGGTAATTACCTTTAGTTGTAGAAATAGGAGAATAGGGATTAATAATAAACTATTAATCCTAAAGGATAAATCAATTTATTAACATCAATTCATGCATATTCTAAGTTTCTAACAAATTATAACAAAGAGGGTGAAAATGGGTAACTCACTACCAAATTTATCTAGTAGAAATTTGTGAAGAGTAGCCATTTGTTTTTGGGTTTGTACAAGTTGTTCCTTAGTCTCTTCATATCCAACCTTCATTTCTTCATATCCATCCAACTTCACTTCCAAAGATTTGACTTGCTTTTTCAAGTCCTCAACACATTGTTGATTGGAGCCACCAACATTGACAAAACCAGTAAAACGCCTAGACATTCCAAATACTTCGGAAGGACAAATACCATTGCCTATACCACGCACTCGGCCAGAATGCTCAGCTCCACATACTTTTCCAATAGCATCATCAGGATAAACATTTACCTTTGATGGAACACCTACAGTGGCAGCACGGTCTTGATCTTGAGAGAGGTGCTCTGATATCTTGTCCTATAAAACAATTAGCAAGAAGCCATCAAATAAAAGAAAAACATAAATATGAATAATAATGGTGTCATATATTTTTCATTCTTCATTTACTTACAACCAAACTCTTTCCTTCTTCATTTATGTAGTTTCCATCCTTCTTCATTAAAGTCGACAAAATAATTTCACTTCGACACACAGGTCTTCCCAATTGTAACTCCTAATATCATTAATAAAATATGAATGAACAAATAAAATGCACATGCAAAAATTTATAGTACAACATATGCAGGTTTGAAGAATATAATGAAGCAACCTGGAGTTTCTACTTCATACATAGACCTATTGTAAGGTTGTTAGAGACTTACCATTTCACGGCCTCTCCTAGCATTGCTCTTACTACCTCCAGCTTGTATCATTGCATGTGTGTTTTCCTTAACAAACAGATGTCCCCACTAAGACTAGGTTATTATAGATATAAAAAAATCATAAAAGTATCGCATGTCTTGAACCGTAAAATTATAGATATAAAAAAAGTGAAGAATTAAACAGAGCAAAGTAAGGTTGTACCTGATATACTCTGCGGTGGCTGAATGAGATGTGGGGTGGAAAATCTGTTCAAAGGAAAAAAATTTGGCAGCTAAGTTACTCACTGCAGAGAACATAAATTTGTTGGTTAGTCAGTTATGTTTTCCTCCCTTTGAAATAAGGGGTGTGTTATTGACTTATTGCACATCTCTCAGCATCATTATTTGAACAACGCCAGTAAATATGATCAATTTTAAAAAATAAAAATAAAAGATAAAAACAAGTAGTACGTCATACAGATTTAAAAAAAGAAGATAAAAACAATAAAAGATAGATCAATTTGTATAAGGTATGTGAAGAACTACAAGGACAAAATAATAAACAACAAAAAAAAGTATAAAGAAAAATATGATATAAAATAACATAGGCCTGTACAAATCAAATTTGGCTTTAAGGTAAAATAGCTAACACAAATAGATAAATAGAATCACCTGTCCAAGTCCACCTACACGGATCAAGTAGTTAATCTACAAGTCTTGATCTAAATTTGGTGTAGTGAAGAGATATATTGTATTTACATATAGTACAAGTAATATAATTTTGATGTAACAGCTTACGTTTTATATTAAATATATAAATATACATACATATATATAATATGAAATAAAAGTTCGATCTATTTAATAGAAGCCAAAACGTCTAGAATGATAAAGGCACGCACCACGAGGTGATAATCAATTGTTAACATATAAATTTTGATGTAACATCACTGGTGTGTGGGGCATCTCATCCCATTAGATACTAATAATTTTCTAGAATATTAAATAGAAAAGTGTTAAGAAAAATAAAAGAAAATTTTAAATAGAAACTCAGAATATTACTGAATCAAATTTGCAGTTGCTACTGGCTATGATATCTTGTGATGAAAATAGATAACATAGGCACGAAAAAAAGAAGACATATATTGGTTTAAAGCAAATAAGTAATTAACATCTTTAGATCAATTTGTATACTGAATAATGTATTATATTGTCTCTTAAATTACTTTATATCAATTACTTATATTACTTTAACAATCAAATAAAGTACAGTTTATTTTGTGGTGCGTTTTCTTTTGCTATTTTAGCAAATAAAAAACCCCAAATCTAACGTCATGGAGGGAGTTGGGAACTACTAGGCGGTGACAAATGCCAAACCTACCCAAATCAAACAAAAAGTCATTTTCAATATAGCTTTTGGGGGCAAGAAATTATATATCAATTCTGTGTCTAATGAAAAGGGATAGAGCAGTGAATGTTATTTTAAGCAATATATATTAAGGATATCAGTTAGACATCTTTATATGAATGACAATGCAAATGATGTGTCTAATCATAATGAGCAATGCTACCTATTAGAGCTCAAATAAACTTTTGTCTCCCAAAACTAAAAACAGAAGGTGACAAGAAGTACTGCCCATTGGCCATAATGCTTCAAATTGCTTCTCTTCTCTATCCAAACCAAACAAACAAATTAAAAAGAACACGAAATCACTTCCGAGAAATAAGCACTGAAAAAATGCGAAGAGGTTTCTGTTTTTGGCAAGAAGTTATATTGATCATCTAAGTAATGCAAGAGTAGGAAATAATGAAGTTTTAGCTCCTAAAAGCGACACTACAATTTTCCTTTCAAATAGTGATTCTTCTAGATGAATCTAATTAAAGTGAATATTAGACAGTGGGACAAAACTTACCTGCTCTGCCAGCTAATTGATGATTATTATGAGCGACAAGAAGATTTGAAAGGGGAAAAGAAAAGAAAAATAAAGATCTAAGATACTTGATAAGGAAATTTGCATATATGTAATAAAACATGTAATAAATACTATTCTTTATATAAAAGCTACTATTTCAAAACAATTTATGTAGACAGCATCAATTTGACTTCACAACAATACTATAATATTCCACCCTTTTAATCTATGTCATCAAGGAACTACAACCAGTAAAACTTATATTTGAGTAAATAAGGTTTATTGTAAGGAATAAATTACCAAAAGGACTGGGTTGAGAGGTAGCTTTTGTTAAGTGCCAATGGTCTTGTGACTGCTGTCTGCACCCTGCAATTAACTTGTGAGAAATCATAAAAGTATCGCATGTCTTGAACCGTAAAATTATAGATATAAAAAAAAAGTGAAGAATTAAACAGAGCAAAGTAAGGCATCAAACTTTACTTTCTGAACTGTTAAAAATAAAAGACTTTGCAGGTCTCATTTATTAACTCAAACATTATTATTTGATCTTTTCACATGATGCTATCAATTAACTGTTTGTTGTTGCAGCATAAAGGAGCACTTGTAAACAAGGGAACATAGGAGATGGATGCATCAACGAAAAAGTCAAGTCAAAAAGAAAATGTTTCAGTCACATCATATAGTATGGAATTAACCTAACAAGTGGACAGTTATTTTCCAATCACCTAAAATCTGAACTTCATAAATACCAAATTGAAAATTAACAGAAAATGGTTTGAACACACCAAACAGTCAATGACTTGTCCTTAGCAACAAACTCCAGGGCTATAGTTTATTACATCAATTTCTAGGACTGTAAATTAGAAAGATAACACAAAAAAATTCTTTGAATAAAAATAAAGATTCATTAAGTTGAAAACTTTAGCTATGAAAAATGATGGTCACTTTTATGCAAAAAAAAATAAACAAATGGTCACTTTTGTAGTAGTTGGCTCACATGTCTGATGTACGCAAACTTCATTTTAGACAAATAATCTTTATGGGAATCTTTTGAAATGATTCACAGTAAATATATATGTGACCTTAAAAATCTCACACATGTTGATTTCAACACCAATTTCATTCCTGGGGAGTTCCCAACATATTTCTATAAGTGTTCCAAGTTGGAGTACCTTGACCTGTCTCTGAACAACTTTGTTGGTAACACTCCTGAGGATATTGACCACTTGGTTAACTTGAAGTATCTTAATCTTATCAGGGCAGAAGATGAGGCTGCAGCAACAGCCACACCTCCAGTGGAAGGTGAAGCAGCTTCAAAACCAAAGCCACCACCAATCGGCCCCAAGAGAGGTGCTAAGGTGAGTTACCCTATAGCTCAAGTTTTCACTAACAAGTATTAAGAATAGCTCTTTGTAATTTGGAATCACTGTTATCACATGAATATGATCCTTAGTGTTTGACTGTTTGTAAACATACTAGAATCCCTTTTATTTTCTTGGCCACTCCCCATAAACATGATAAAATGTTCAACTCGGAATCTCAAAACATGCCACCATATTGTGCAGTTTCTAATGAGGGAATTTGCTGTATTATATTAAGGCGAATGTAATAACAAGGGTCGGCTCTAAGTCCTTACCTATTGTGCAGTTTCTGAAAACATGCCACCATATTGTGCAGTTTCTCATCAAGTTATTTTCCTATCACGGTAGGTGTACACCAAGGGTCGGCTCTATGTCCTTACCTATTTGCCTTAGTTATGGATGAACTAACAAAAGATATTCAAGAGGAAGTGCCATGGTGTATGCTTTTTGCAGACGATATTGTGCTTATTGATGAGAGCAAGGAGGGTGTTAATAGAAAACTTGAATTGTGGAGAAGCACATTGGAATCCAGAGGATTCACATTAAGTCGAAGCAAGACTGAGTATCTGAAGTGTGAGTTTTCTCTGGTACAAGATGAGGACCAAGAACCTGTGCGTCTAAATGGTCAAGAGGTACCCAAAAAAAATGCTTTTAAATACTTGGGCTCCATTTTACAAAATGGTGGAGAGATTGATGAGGATGTAAATCACAGAATCAGAGCAGGGTGGATGAAATGGCGTAGTGCATCTGCATTTTTGTGTGACCGCAAAATTCCCCTGAAGTTAAAAGGAAAATTCTATAAAACGGCAGTACGACCGGCAATGCTATATGGAGCGGAATGCTGGCCAGCACATAGGCAACATGAGCATAAGATGTGAGTAGCAGAGATGAGGATGTTAAGGTGGATGTGTGGGTACACAAGGATGGATAAGATAAGAAATGAAGATATTCGACGAAAGGTCGGAGTAGTACCGGTAGTCGAGAATATGAGAGAACATAGATTGAGGTGGTTTGGGCACGTGATGAGAAGACCCATGGATGCTCCTGTAAGAACAGAAGTTTGTTACCAAGAGCTAAACACAAAAAGAGGCAGAGGTAGGCCGAAGCTTACTTGGGGGAAAGTAGTAAAACAAGATTTAATGGAGTGGATATAGATTGGCGGACAGTATGTCTTAGAAAGGAATGGAGAAAAGCTATAAGTATGGTGGAGGGTTAGACTCGCTGTTATTCCTATGTTCCAGATGGTCCTTTTTTAGTCCTTTTCCCCTTCATTTCCCCCACTTCTTCTTGTCCCTTTCTTTTTTACTTTTATTTATTTATATATACATATATTTTTATTTCATTTTATTTTATTTTATTATTTTATTTGTGTATTTTTATTTATTTATTTATTTATTTATTTTTTATTTTTTATTTTTTATTTTTTATTTTTTTTACTTTTTTTCAACCGTTTTGTATCTTTCATGTGGGTTCATCTACCACCGACCCCAATTAATTTAAGATAAAGGTGTTGTTGATGTTGATGTATATTAAGGCGAATGTATTATATGAGAACTGTGTTAGCTCTAACTAACTACACATCTTTCTAAACAATCATTTAAGCATCTTGGAGGTGTTAGATCTGAAAATAATTCAAATCATTATGGACAAGTAGCAGAGTTAGCGTGATATTTAAATGCAAATATATACTAAAAATTATTGGGACCAAATTATGATTCAAAAACCAGGGACAAGTAGCACAGTTAGAATTCATATGATGAATGAGCATTCAATAAACAGGAAAATAGATGGCATTTATCGAACAATCAGTCAGAGTAACTAAACAGAGATATGATTCCGGAAAGAGAGAGCAAACCTAGCTTAAATTTTGCAGATCGAACGAGCGAGTATGAAATGCATGTCAGATAAAAAAAAAAGTGTATTAATGTGAGGAATAGAGAAAGAGAGAGCAAACCTTGAATCAAAGAACCTCAACTAAAGCCTTGAATCAGATTAGGAGAACGGAGAAACTGACGGAATGGATTTAAAAAGAACGAGAGAGTGACGAAATCTGATTGAAGTACGAAATGAAGTGAGAAGTTGATTCTCAAATCGGTTGTAGTGAGTGGAAACTTCTAGGGATTTAGCATCTCAGCATTTGGGGATTAAAATCACACTCTTTACGTTGGGATCTATAAATAAAATCATGTTATTAACATATGAAATTATAAAATTATAAAAATATTATCAAATGTGTATAAATCAATTCTAAAAATTAAAAAAAAAAAAAATTTAAAATATCTAAATTAAAAAAGCAGATAATAGAATAAATAATAATTACAAACAATCAAATATTTAAATTCAAAAAAATTAAAATTAGCAAAAAGAGGGTCAAAGGCCAGTAAGCTAAGTCAGAGGCCAAATAATAATTAAAATAAGCAAACGGATAAGAATTCCTCTTCACGTTTTTAAACGAAAGTTGTGGTGAATTACCGTGGCAGCCTGCTGGGTCTTATATATCCCCAATATGGTTATGGTCAGAAGAGAGGCTTGAGCGTAAAGATGGATCACAGCTACAACACCTTATCTAAATGCAACGGAATTTAGTCATTACTAAATTACCGTGGTGAAAAGGCGTTTTTGTTGTAGTGAATTCACACTTTTATTTTTTTTGTCAACTCTCTCTTCTTTTATCTATCTCTTTCTTTCTCTTAAAATGACACAACTTTACATCCTTCAAAATGATACTTATTTTTCCCTTTTAAATAATAAGGTATTCCATTTCCTTGAAGAAAATAACGAAGTGAAGCCTGAAATTAATTAATCATATATTTTTCAGTCGCTAGCTATACATAAGTTTAAACTGACCACCAAATGTAAAATTGCAAATTACCCTAGTCATTCACCGTTTGTATGATTATAATGGTTTATCAATTATATTTTTGTAAATCAATAAATTAAATTTTACCAATATATATACATACATATATATATATATATATATATATGTATATATATATATGTGTGTATATATATATGTGTATTATCAAGAGTTAATCTTAAACTTTTATACGGTTTAATAAATTTTATAAAATATGAATTTTTTTTTTTAAAAAAATTTGAATCATGTGATATTATCTTGATTCATTTACACCAAATTTTATATAAAATGAATATTCATAAATATATAATCTCAGTCAAAATTTAATTTAATTTCAAAAGAGTGATGCATGAACATTCAATGTGGGACACAACACGTTAATTTTAAAAAATATTAGATTTCGATACGTTAGGACACAATTTGATATTAAATAATATTTTTAATTTATATAGTGCATAATATGTTTGATCTTCAATAATTTAACAGAAAAAATAAAGCTAAATTTATAATACCCATCAATTTTACAAAGAATCATAAGATATGCCAAATATTTATATTAAACTCAATAAAATTGTAATCGTAATCTATCAAATTTAATAGTTGAAATTAGAAATGCAACGCAACATAAATTTTGAACCCCTTTTTTGAGTCTTTGTAATGCGTGTTTGAATGTCAGAGAATATTAAAAAGTGTTAGACATGACACGTCAGGCTTTTCAAAATGTTTGTGCATCATAACTAACAACAACAACGATAGCTGATAGGGATGAAGAGAAGTTGCAAGTGGTGGGTTGAGAGTGGAGATATTTTTATTTTAGAATTGTTAAACATGTTTAATTCTTGTAATGTGATAGTGCAAGTGAATTATTCATTCAATTGAAAAACAGGATGGTTTTCTGAACAAACATCTATGTACATGGTGATTTTATATAATTTATTCATTAATTTTTTTATAATATAAAAATTGATAAACTTGATCTACTTAATAAAGGGATTCAATTTAATAGTTGAATTCTATAAAGCACCGACACTTCAAAAATCTTGACGTATTGTGTCTGACACTTCCCAACACTCTCCGACACTTCGACACGCGTTGTAGAAACTCAAATAATGGTTCAAAGGTTGTGTTGCGTTGCATTTTTAGTTCCAACTATTAGATTCGTTAGATTACGATTATCATTTTATTAAATTTAATATAAATATTTGGGATATCTTATGTTTCTTTGCAAAATTGATGAGTATTATAAGTTTAATTTCATTTTTTGTTAAATTATTGAATATTAAATATAATATATACTACATAAATTAAAAATATTATTTAATATTAGAAGATAAAAACAATCATGTTTTTGATCTTCTGTAACAGTTGTAATGTTATTGATCTTTTATAACTATTGTAATTTTTGATCTTCTGTAACAGTTGTAATGTTATTGATCTTTTATAACTATTGTAATAATTTGTTTTCAATATTTTGTAACAGCCATGTAATTACTTAGTTTCAATCTTTTGTAACTGTCATGTACCTGAGCGTCTATATATTATGGGCGCATTTCTTCAATAAGAGGACATCTGATATTCAAAGTTATTATGGTATCAGAGCTAAACGTTCCCCGGGTTGCTGTGTAGAGATAACAACATGGAAAAAGAAAATGAGACTGGTGGTGCGGGAGGGCAGCCAGAGAAAGAACCAGAGGGCAGTGGAACGGTGCACTTGAAGACAAATGACCAGAGATCACCTTTCTATCTTGCCCCTTCAGATAGTCCAGGTATTTTGCTCACCAATGTGTTGTTAAAAGGTGAAAATAATTCTGATAATTGGTCAAGGGCCATGAGAAATGCTTTACGAGCAAAGAACAAACTAGGATTCATTCTTGGATCTGTTGAGAAACCAGCAGATGATGCTTCTGATGAGGGGCATGCATGGATAATGTGCAATTCGATGATAAGTGGGTGGATCCATAATGCTATAGATCCATCAATACAGCCTTACATTCATTACTTTGACACAGCCAAAGAGTTGTGGGATGATTTGAAGGAAAGGTATTCCGTGGAAAACATCCCACGTATTTATCAATTAAAATGCAGCATCATGTCTATAAAGCAGCAAGGATCAACCGTAAGCAACTACTATACAAGGCTGAGAGCGGCTTGGGATGAGTTGGATGCCAACAGAAAGATTGATGCTTGTACCACTGGAGATAGGTGTGCCGTCTTGAGGTATGTTGCCCAAGAAAATGAAAGGGAACATGTTTATCAGTTCCTCATGGGGTTGGATAGCGAAGTGTTTGGTGGATTACGCACCCAAATCCTTAACACTATACCACTGCCAAGCATGAACAGGGTATATTCAATGGTGACTCAAGAGGAGACACACAAGTCCATTGCGCGTGCTCATCCTGACCGTGGAGAAGCAATCGGTTATGCAGTTCAAAATGTGTTCCAAAAATCCATTTCAGATGTAGGTGTCGAACGTGGGAAATGTTCATATTGCAAAAGGCCTGGACATGATGTTTTTGGGTGTTGGCAGTTGCATGGCTACCCCAACAAGCGTGACGGACGTGGAAGAGGAAGGAGTCAAGGTGCCAGAGGACGTGGACTTCATACAAGCCGCTCATATGAGGACCATGAGATAAAGCGTGGTTTCTCTTTTCCCTCACATACTGCAAAAGCACATGCAGCACACATGCTTGAACAGTGTGAGAGTGTATCCAGCAACCTTTTGGCAGATTTAACACCTGAAGTTGTTCAACGTTTGTTACAATTGGTGGACACTTCCAATCCCACTTCAGAGAAACTTTCTGGTAAGAACGATGCTTCTCCTACTTGGCTAGTTGACAGTGGGGCCTCCCATCACATGACTGGTGATATTCATCTCCTCATTAATGTTAAAAAGATTAACCCTATACAAGTGGGTTTGCCGGATGGTAGTAAGACTTGTGCAGTGCAACAAGGATATGTGATCCTTGGACCCAATTTATTTCTTCACGCCGTCTTATTTGTACCTACATTACGTTGCAACCTAATTTCGGTTGCTCAGTTGCTAAAGAACACAAAGTCCTATTTGTGTTTCACTAATCAGTTGTGTCTTGTGCAGGACCCCATGTCGAGGAGGCTGATTGGATTGGCTAAAGAGAAGGGAGGTGTGTATGTTTGTGACCAGACTGCTTCTGCACTTGCTGTAAGACATGAAGAATCCGTAGAATTATGGCACAAAAGGCTCGGTCATCCCTCAAAACAAGTTGTTTCTCTTCTTCCTTTTACATTTAAAAGTTGTAAATTTGAAAATGTCGCATGTGATGTTTGCTATCGAGCTAAACAATCAAGAAGTGTTTTTCCTCTTAGTTCCTTTCGTAGCAAAACAAGTTTTGATTTGATTCACTGTGATTTATGGGGGCCTTATCGCATGAGTTCTTTTAGTGGTGCTCATTATTTCTTAACAATTGTGGATGATTATAGTAGAAGTGTATGGATTTACTTGATGGCAGAAAAGACCGAAACAGTCTCATCTATTCAAAAGTTTATTTCCATGGCACAAACACAATTTGGTAAATGTGTGAAACAAATTAGGACTGACAATGGCAGTGAGTTTATGGATGGAAAATTGAGCCGGTTGTATGAAGACTTAGGAATCATGCACCAAACTTCGTGTGTGGATACGCCACAACAAAATGGTAGAGTGGAACGCAAACATCGACACATCCTTAATGTTGCTCGTGCCTTAAAGTTCCAAGCAAATTTACCCACTGATTTTTGGGGTGAATGTGTACTTGCGGCTGCACACTTGATAAAGAGAACCCCTTCACAGATTCTCAATGGGCTCACACCGTATGAAGTTCTACATGAAACCAAGCCATCGTACCAACACATGAAAGTGTTTGGTTGTCTTTGTTATATTCAACAGCGTCCTCGTCCACGTGACAAGTTTGATCCTCGTTCCATTAGATGTGTGTTTCTTGGCTACCCTGCAAATAAAAAGGGATGGAAGGTTTATGATCTTGATTCACATCGTCTCATGGTCTCTAGGGATGTGCACTTTCACGAGACTGTATTCCCTTTTGCAAGCTCAGAAACCCAACCTTCATCGCCTCATGAGTCAAGTCAACACTTCCCACAACTGCCTACATCTTTTCCCAGTTGGCCTATTGAACCACTTGTTGAACATGACACTAACTTGGAGCAGTGTGTAAATCGTAACCCTGATGTTCTTGACCCCCACGACAGGGGGAGTAGAATTCCTAATGACCAAACAGACGATGTGCATGAACATGAGGATGTGTTACTTAATAATGAACAATGTGAAGGAGGACATGTGCAAAGTGATACCAGTCGTACCATGGTGGACCTGAGACGTAGCCAACGTGTACGTCGTCCTCCAAAGTTTTTACAGGATTA